TGGACTAATGTTTTCCTTGTATCCTGTTCTCTTCATTCTTCCTTGCTCCCAAAGGGGTGAGACCAGTGGAGTATCTTAGATGGCTGCTCACAGGCTTTTAAGACCCCAGATGCTACTCACCAAGGTAGAATGTAGAACATTGTCTTTACAAACTGTGTTATGCCAATTGAGCTAGATGTTCCCTGAGACCATGGTCCCCACAGGGGAGGGCGTTTCTTGAAGATGGACAGGATCACAGCACGTTTGTGTGTCTTTGAGGAGCAGCCAGGTGTGCAGTGGGACCGGAGCCAGTGAGCAAGTGAGGGGGTGCCTGGTGTGAGATGAGGCCAGAGGGGCAGTGGGGGCGATGAACGAAGCTGGACTGCGGGGCCTTGCGGGCCAATGCCTTCAGTGGGTGAGGGCGGGGTCTAGTGGCCATGTGAGGGTTACAAGCACAGGTGTGCATGCAGGGGACAGGTGGGCAGCAGGGCCTGCGGCCAGGCGCTAGGGGGAGCGCTGGAGTGCGGGCATCCCAGGACATTCGCTTCTGCTTGGTTCTATTTCTTCAGCCGAGTGGGAAGCAAGGACTTCGACTGAGAGAGAGGATGGAGGAAGAAGAGAGGGTGGCAGCGGTCCCCCAGGAGAAGCAGTGAACGACCCAGACAATGTGGCAGGATTGCTGGGCAGCACCGAGGCCTGTAAGATGAAAGGGCATGAACTTAAGGGCGTCTAGCAGGCGTGGGTTTTCTCCAGCCACGTCCACTGGCCAGGTGCCGTGGGGCAAGCAGAGGGGTTGGGTTATCCAGGTTTGGGGTCTTGCCAGGTGAGCTACTGAGAGGGGCAGTTGAGTAAAGGAGGTGGCAAGAGGGATGGTGGTGATTGTGGACTCTGCACTGAGTGGGGAGGGGTGGGGAGTGGAGTGAAGACAGGAGGGGGCCCCTGGAGTGAGGGGTCAGGCTTTGCCAGAGCGAGCTAGGAAGAGGAGGCAATGAACAGAGAAGGGGGCTTGGAAGTGAGATGGGGCAGTCATTGGTAATGATGGGGTCAGGGCACGGTTGTTGACCAGGTGGCTGCGGGGGGCAGAGGACAAGGTCACTAGTGGGACAAAAAGGTCAAGGATATGAGGGGCTGGGGGTTGAAGGGTGGCCCAGGAGAACACTGAGATGCCCAGGACTGGAGGTAGGAGCCCAGGGTGAGGGTGAGAGCCAGAGCAGATATCTGCAGAAAAAGGGGTGATGCCCTCAGCAGGGGGTGTTGTGGGGTGGTTGTACAGTCACAGCTCAAGTGTCACCAGTGGGACTTGTTGGGGGGTGGTCTGCAGTCAGCAGAGAGGAACTGGGAGGTGGGGACCCACCTCTGGGCCAGGGTGCCTAAGTGTGGGAGAGAAAAAGCCACCCCAGGGAGGAAGGCAGCAGCCTTGGAGGGGAGAGCCAGCTCCTGCGGGGGAGTGAGGGCAGGGCTCTGGGGCTGGAGGAGGGCCTCAGAGTGGGAGCTGTATCCCAAAAGGGCATTCCCTATTTTATATAGAGAGGCCCATGGGGAGAGGGCACGAGGGTGGCCAGGGCCCGAGTAAGGGTGAGGGCCAGTCAGGCCTGCCGGAGGTGGGGAGGCTGGGGCACCCAACAACTGAAAATTTCCCCGCAGAAGAGACAAGCACAAAGAGCCAACACCAAGGGAGTCGACAGTGTGTGCGCTGAACACAATTAAGGTTAATATCCTGTTAGAGAGAGAAATGACTTGTAGAAAAAAAGATGCAGGACACAAGAAATGAGAGACCTCACAAGGAAACAAAGAAAAGTAAATGGAAACAACAAAACACAGGTTTCGTTTTTTTAAAAAACATTTTATTATAGAAAATATCAAATCTACACAAAATTGGAGAAAATAATGAAATCTACAGCCTAGTGAGGCGCCCCGAGGCAGTGACGCACACCCTCCCTTGGACCAGCTCATAGCCAGCCTGCCCTCTCTGCCCTCACTGCCTCCCCTTGTCCTTTGGAACAAACCCCAGACATCTTATCATAAGATGCCATTTTTCTGTTAAAAAACAAGCAAAGACACAAGAAGTACAGCCAGGGCCTGGCAAATGGGCAGCTGGGGGTGGCTGCCCTGGGGTGGTCCAGCCAGGCTGGGCACTGAACATGTGACCAGGCCTGCCCCCTCCTTGACGCAGGCAGAGCCACCCCTCAGCCTCCTGTGTCCAGGGTCTCCAGCTGGACATCAGAGCAGTCAGCGACCCCAAGGTGGCCCGAGTCCCACCTGCTTCCAGGGGGCCAAGCGGCCTGCCTGCTCGGACCCTCGGCTTTGGGCAAGGTTATCTTTTTAACATTTAAACTGGAGAAATAATTTCCATGCAGTGAGTGCACAGAGCTTAAGTGAATAGGTCCGTGGGTTTCCACAAATGCATCTGTGCATAACCACAGCCCTGCAACACACAGGACATGTCCACCCCCCTTCCTCCCCAGGAGAGTTTTAAGGAGGAAGCCAGGGAGTACTGAGAGAGGAAGGGGGAGAGCCTGCGGCCAGAGGGCAGCAGTCGCCCTGCTTTGCCGCTGGGCGGCCATTCTGGCCCAGGCAATGGACGCTGTCCTGCCACAGCCCTGGAAGCTGGGCTTGCTGTGCCCGGGAACCACATATTCCTCATCCAGCATGGGCCTCCCCCTCCCTTCCTTGTGCACCCGCCTGCCCCGTAGCCCCACACCCAGGCCCCTCCAGCTCTGCCCCCCTCCTTTCTGCCCCTTCATGGAAGACTCGAGTGAGAGTCTCCCCAACACCACCCATCCCTGCCCGAGGTTCCTCTCTGGATGCCCCTTCACCTCCCCACTCTCACGGGACGCCTGCCCCCCTGAGGACTGCAATTCCTTCACGTTCTCCGCCCCAGGCAACCCAGAGCCCAGATGGGGGGCCTCTTCCTTGTCCCCACTGCAACTTGCACGTTCGCCCTCCCAGGAAGGACTTTAGCCCCACTGCTAGGGTGCTTGGAGTGGACACCTAAGCTGCCAAGAGTGCCTGGCCCAAGGCCACATCCTCCTAGGGGCAGCGTGTGTCCTCCAATGACTGGTGCACACAGGAGCCAAAGGCCTGGCCACTCTGGCCCCATGAAGGACATCTCTCACGGGCTATTCCAACTCCAGAGCTCCTGCTGGGCGGTTGTGGCCAGTGGGGCGGACACCCAGCTCAGCTTCTCCCTCTGCCCACTCTGCTTCCTCCTCCCCCCTCCTACAGGTGCTGCGGGAGACTCTGGCTCAGAATTTCCTTCCTGGAGAACCCCAAGCTGCTGCAGTTGGGGCCAGGAGTGTCCAGCAGCAGGGGCTTAGGGGCTGCATGGTGCTGGCTGTCGGTAAGGGCCCGTCAGTTGTATCTAGGGTGCTGAAAGTTGTAAGACCGGGATCATCCAGGAGGCCAGGAATGTACGCGCTGGTATGAGTATCAGAAACCAGGCACACCCTGAGCAGTTTTCCTCCTCTCGGCCCACCAGCAAATCCTGCACCCGTGCCTTCGAGACGTGGCCAGGCACAAGCCCGGGCTGGCCAAGCCGAGCAGCCTCCTGGAGCCCGAGGGGCTGGTGTGTGCCCTTCAGCCCTCCATCAATGCTGACCAGCAGCCTGGGTGTCTCAGGCCTGGCTCAGCCACAGCCTTCACACAGCCAGTCTCTCCCCACGGCCCACCCCCCACACTCCTCATCTCCCCCCACTGCACTCTGCTTCCCAACCTGGCCCGACTCCTCAGCTGCTGGCCTCTGCCCACCACCTCAAGCCTGCCCCTTGGGTAGAAGCTGGGCTCTACCACTCTGTGGCCACCCTGGGTTCCTGTCTTCTGGGAGAGGGGATCCCTTCCCTTGTCCCTACAGCAATTCTGACAGTCAGGCCCTGCCTGCGAGGCAGGTGGAGTGCCAGTGCCCCCATGGGGATGGCCAGCCTCTAGACATGGAGTCGGCCCTGACTCTCAGCCATGGTCTCAGGCAGGGCAGGCTCCAGGGGTGTGGCCTGGGCAGACAACCAGCCCCAGGCCTGGTTATTGCTCTGCTGTCGCCATCTTGAAACTCTCAACAACTTTTGAATAAGGGCCTCCACATTATCATTTTGCACTGGGCCTGGCAAATTATGTAGCTGGTCCTGGTTCCAGGGATACTCGGCTGACTGAATCCCTGACGACCTCGGTCACCAGCCTGGCCCTGAGGCCAGGCTGACCTGGGAGAGCCAGTTAACTGTGCCAGGTGCCATCCCCTCCCTGGACCCTGTGGCCCACTACCTCCCCTGCTCCCACAGGAGGTCCTGGCCCCCAGGCTGCTGCAGGTGCTGGAGCTACACTTGGGGAGCTCCCTGGGTGAGGGGAGAGAGGTGGGGGTTCCCAGTAGGCTCCTGGACAACTGAGTTCCTGCATCCAGCAGGCCTTGTGCCCTGGCCTGCATCTCTAGGCAGCTTATTCCCTAGGGCTTGGGCAGAAGCAACTTTGGAGTGTCTAGCTCCCCATGCACCTCCAGGCACAGGGCTTGTCCAGGGCCCTGCCAGGTCCCATTGCTGATTAGACGAGAAGCAGGTACCTGACCTAGCCTAGACCAATCAGTTTCCGACCCCTGGTGCTCCACTGATTGGTCACACCTGTGCGGCCGGGTAAGCCCAGTTCTGGCCCCCCATTTCCAGGGGAGTGGGTGGGGGCCCAGGGCAGGAGTGAACTGCCTGTGGTCAAGAGGAGCAGTGGGTCTCACTCCTGTCCCATGATGAGTCCAACCTCTAAGACCCACACTGCCCTTGCTTCCCACCCGACATCAGGATTCCAGCTGGAGAGGCCACCCAGGACAGGCCCCCTAAAGCCCTGGAAGGTGTGCACTAGGGGAAGACCCTGGAGGGTGGCCCCTCCCATCCCCATCCCCATCCCCAGCAGAGAGACCCAACCCTGCGTCCAGAGGGGAAAGGTAGCTTTATGGAAGGGAAGGCCAGTGGGAGAGACTCATGCTGTCAGCCCCAGGGTGGCGGGAGGGTAAGGGAGTGGGGGAAGGGTCCGGATGCAGGCACACCGTGTCACACGTCCAGGTCGGACAGAAAGCGGTTGGCTTTTTTGTAGGTGTGGTCCTTGCGAAGCACAATGCCCGGGCTGCAGGTGGCTCCCAGCGGCCAGTGGCGGATCACGTGTCGGTAGGACGTGGTCAGGTAGTCGAAATAGTTAACATTGAGCTTCCGGGCAATATGACGGCCCAGGAATTCCACTTGCTGTGGGAGCGGCAGCAGTCAGCTCTCGCCCAGTTAGGAGAGGGCCCTCGAGGGGTCACCCGCACGCCTGGACACAGCCCTCATCCCTGCCCAACCAGCCCCTTTGCAAGGGCCACGATGGCCGGGCCACGCATGCCCCATTTCACTGACCGTTGACGGCCGCTTCTAAGACTCTGAACAGTGCTAAGCGTCATTTTGTCCCAAGGAAGGGGAGGCAGCGCCCCACGAGCGGGCGTGCCGGGGCGGCGGGGCAGGACCCACCTCGTAGTGCTCGGACAGCTGCACCAGCACCAGGGGCTCCAGCTTGTGGCCGCACAGGACCAGCTGGAAGAAGCACCTTCCATAGCCTGGCGGTGCGAGTGGGGCTCAGCCTACGGCGGCACGGGACCCCCTTCCCGCGCCCCGCCCCGCCCCGCCCGTCCCGCGCGTCACCGTCGGAGCTGAGCGCCAGGCGCACGTAGACCAGGTGCATGGGGCCCTGATACACGGTGCGGCCCTGGATGGAGAAGTGGTACATGCCGCGGGTGTGGTTCAGCACCAGGCGGCGGCGAGGCAGTGACGAGACCATGAGCCACAGGCCCACGCCCATGCCATATGCCGGGAAGCCCCAGGTCTCCTGGTCCTGCACCTGTGGGGCGCGGGAGGAGTCGGTTTGCCAGGCCCCAGAGGGCTCGGGGGCGGGGCACCCGGGTGGGAGGGGCACCTTGGGCGGGGCTCCCAGGTGGGGGGCTCTCGGGGGCGGGGCGCCTAGCGGCTGGGTCAGGCCCTCAGGGGAGGAAGTCCGAGGGGGTCGGGCCCACAGCGCAGACCTTGCTCACGAGGCCACAGCTGACTAGCGACAGGCAAACGACGAAGAGCAGCGTCCCCTTCCACAGAGTGTCCAGGTAGTACTCGAGCACAAACACTGGGGGCGGTGCAATGCGTGAGGATGGCCGGTCCCCGCCCGCCCCACGCAAGCGCTCCGGGCTGCGGTCAGCATGTTGCTTGAAGTCTCTGCGGCCACAAGGCCCCGGCCGGCTCCCGGCCGGCCCCGCCCCTACCCGCCGGGCTCAGGGTCCTGGCCACACTCGGCACAGCCCCGCCCCGCGCTCAACCTGCCCAGTCCCAGCCCCGCCCACGCCACTCCGCGCGCACCGTTGGGCTGCTGCTGCGAGAACGGGTAGAAGCTGTTGCTCTTGAGGCGCTTGGCCAGGTGGCGCGCGGTGCAGAAGCATCCCAGAGCCCACAGCTGGAAGTGGTTCCCGCTGAAAGTAGTGGGCAGGCAGCTGATCTGGTCCTTGGGGACCTGGTCAGGCACAGGCAGTCAGCTGGGCCGGGTCGCCCGCCGCCACCGCCCGCTACCCGCAGTCGCTCTCGTACCTGGGGGAGGAGCGTGTCCAGGGCTGCGGCTCGGGCAGGAGCACACGGGCGACGGGCGCGAGGCCAGGCGGCTGTCCAAGGCCAGGCGGCTGTCCAACCCAGGCCATGCGTGAATTCTAGAAGTTCTGGGCTGCACATTCTAGAAGGGGCCCGCTCTGTTGACCTCTCTTCTTCGGGGTTCTGGCGTCAGACTTCGCGGTGGGCGTGCACTTCCTTGCCCACCCCCGCCTCATCCAGTATAGCCTGCCTCAGAGTCCTCACCTGAAGGGTGGGGTGGCTGAGCTTGGCATCCAGGCCTTAGCTGGAATCTACAGGCCACCCCAAACGGCAAGGCCGAGCAGGGCACCACCTCCTGCTGGAGCCAGAGCCTCCTGCCACCAGGAACAGCCCACCTCAGTGTCCCCGAGGGTGGGACACACACACACAGTCCTAGACAGTAGCCCAGTAGAGGCGTGAAGGCACAGAAGTACTGGGCCCACGAACCCCCCCGAACCCCACCCCACTGGGCTGGCACTAGGACCTCAGTAGTTCTCTCAGGTATGCCCCCAACCGTCACCCCTACCCTAAGGATCACACAAAGTTCCTAAAGATTTTTTTATTGTAACAAAATGCTCAAACATCCAAAACTGATTAGAAGCACAGGCCAGGACTGGTTGACGGGTCTGGGGCCTGAAGCTGCCTAGCTGGGGGATGGGAGGCTGGTGAGCAGCTGCTCCAGGCACCACTGGACCTCCTCTGGGCCCCGGTAGGCCCGCTTCAGGCCCCGGGGAAGGCAGCGGCAGGACTCCAGGTTGAGGTACACCAGGCCTGGGCAGCTGCTTATCACAGAGCTGTGGGGGTGGGACAGGGCCATGGGATTGAACCCTGCCCAGAGTCCTGGCCACAGCCCCCAGGAGACCCGGGCCAGGCTCTGGAGTCTCTAAGCTCCAAGCCTGTCACCCACAGCCCAGTACCCTTGCACACCGGAGCCTACAAGCACCACCTGAGGACCAACCCCAAGCAGGCGCCTGGCCAGTATGTGCTACCCTCTCGGACCCCCCAGAGGTAGTGAGACAGGCTGGATGCTCCATCCCGGCCCCAAGCAGGCAGGGTAGCAAGCCATACTGGCTCCAGGGGCTGGGGGTGGGTGCTGACCTGACTGTACTGGCCATGACCCGTGTACCCCTGAGGTTGAGGGAGCACAGAGCCAGCTGTGAGCCCCTGGGGACACCCGAGAAGGCTGCCAGCGCCTGCTCCAGGTCCTTCTCACTGAAGCCCTGGCCGCTCAAGTCCAGTTCCCGCAGGGTGCAGTACCACTTCTGGGTCAGCAGAGGGCTGCCCTCCTTGGCCAGAGACAGCCGGTCGGAGGTGTCATACAAACCCAGATACAGATGCTCCAGCTCTGGAAACAAGAGGGGCAGCATGAACTGGGGTCATGGAGGGTCTCCACAGCCCACTTTCCTGGCCACCCACTACCGAGGGCAGCTGACCCTGGCATGGCAGATGGTGCAGGCCGGCAGGCGTGATGCGGGCACAGCCACGAAGATCCAGTAGGCGCAGGCGAGGAGAGCTGTGCAGGAGGCGGCCCAGGACCTCGTTACTCACGAAGTTGCAGGTGGAGCTGGCAAGGCAGAGCTCCTCCAGGACAGGGAAGCCTGGGCCCGGGGCCACCCCACGACCCAAAGGCTTGGGCAGCCACATCAGGTTCAGTAGTCGCAGCACCTGGGGGTGAGGCCCAGGCTGTAGATGGGAAGGGGGGGTGGCAGGCGTGGGAGACGGGGCACCAGGTACCTGCAGCTGGGGGCAGCCTTTCTGCAGGGCCTCGACCGGCAGCTGGAGAGGAATGGTGTTACGGCTGATGCCGGTGCTCACCTCCAGGACTTGGAGCTGGGGACAGCAGCTACCCTGCAGGGGTGGAGAGAACCAGGTCAGTGGCCTGGCTGGGCCTGGGCTCAGCATCTAGCTGTGCCCCGCCCACCGCCAACCTACCAGCAGTGCGCCCAAGATGGCTGTCATCTGGGAGCTGTAGGTCAGCCACAGCCTGCGCATTCGGGGCCCAGCCTCCTCCAAGCAGCTCACCACAGCTGTGGACTCCACCTGGGGGCCCAGGAGTGCCGGTCACCTCAGCCCGGCTTCTTCAGGGCCCCTGGGGACACTGGGCTCACCATGGAGTGCTGCAGATCCAGGCTGTGGAGCTGGGGGCAGGCTTTGGCCAGCATGACCAAGGTGTCAGGGGTCAGCCCGTGGCAGTCAGAAAGCTTGAGGAAGGTGAGCCGAGGACAGGACTCACTAGCCAACTGTGGAAGACAGGGGGCCAACCAGGAGTGGGGAGGGCAGGCTGTGCCCAACAAGGATAAAAGGCTTCACTATGACCTCTCTTCTGCCCACACCTGGGCCCCCACCTCTGACACCACCCTGCTGGCTGCAGGGCAGACTGCTGGAGGAGACGCCAGCAGCCTGCGTTGGACTCCTAGAGTACTAAGTAACCCGAGTGTCACACTGGCAGCAGCCTCCACGCTCACCTTCAACACAGGGTGCACCTGGCACTTCCAGTGGAGGAGAGTCAGCTTCTGGAGCTGGGAGAACCTGGGCCGACAGCAGAAGCAGAGCTGCCCCAGCGTCCTCACCTAACGCCTCAGAGCAGGGAAACAGGAAGGGGCCTCGGGCTTTCCACACGCCACACAAGTGAAGTGAGGAGATAAGGAAAAGGGGGAACCCCTCACCTGTTGGGTATAAGCCACTCCAGGGAAGCAAGGAGCTTCTTTTCCCCCTTGCTTTCGCCCTTGGTGGGGCGGCCGACCAGCGGGGGCGACAGGGTCACGGTGTGCCAGAGCGCGGGCTGGGCGGCGGCCTCGTGCCAGCGGCGGCACACGCGCGCAGCCCTGGGAAGAAAAAGCTCTGCTGAAAGGCTGGGTCCCTCCGAGGCGATGCCCGCCACCAGCTGCCGATGCCCACCAGTCTCGGAGTGGGGCGGACACCCCAGCTCAAAGCCAGACACCTGGCCTCTAACTGAACCAGCCTCACGGCTGCATGCCCGGGTACACATGTGGGCGCGCTCAGACGCTTTCACTCTCTGTCCCCCGCCCCGGCCACGCACTCGGTGAACAACAGGTCAGCCCAGGGCGCCACCGTGAAGCCGCCCGCGGTCCTCGAGGCCTGGGGTGTTGTGCTACCTGCCGAGGAAGGGCATGGGCCCCTCAGCCGCCACGAGCAGCCCGAAAATCTGCACCAGGATTTCCAAGGGGAGGCGGTCGCCCCAGCCCGGGTCAGGCCCCCGCTGGGGCTCGGGCCTGGGTCTGGCCTCGGCCGCGGCGGCGCGGGG